GGAGGAAAAGACAGCATGTCATTTGTTTGCTTTGATACAAGATCGCACCAAGGGAGGGACTGAAAGCCTCTGAGTGTGTATGTGTGTGTGTGTTGTGTGTGTCTTTTTTGGCCTCTGTTTGTATGTCCTGCACATGAGCAGATGAAGGGATAAGGTTTCAGGGATATTTTCTAAATGTCTTGTATTAAGTTACATGTAAACAGACAGACACACATGAAGACTGGCACAGTTCTGCAACCTGCACCACACACTGAAAATCACTGGATCACGATTGACCCAGTCTGGACTAATACAGCACAGATGCCATACCGGGTTAACCTTACCCAGTGCCGAGGTTAAGTTGGCCCAATGTTAGTGTTATTTTTATATCACTGCTATTTACCCAGACTAACATACATTTATTTTTGAACCCAGTGTTAGCTTAAGTTTTACCTTAAAACGTTATATATATATATTGTTATATATTATATTGTCAGTTGTACAAAATTATGTGCGTATGACATTAAAAACTGTAAAGGATACAAACACTGAAAATATGTAACAAATAGTGACAAAAAGAGAGACTGTTAACAGTTTGCAATCATATACACTAAAAAATAACTGAGTTAAAGATGTGCCCAGTATGATGCCATAATGGGTTAACTTTACCCAGTGCCCATGGGTGGAAACCCACCCGAGACAAGGGAATGTTTTGATATATTAACCCAAGAGTAATATAAAACACAGCGCTATCACAGAGTCAGACACTGGGTACCTATTGATGTTGCGTCTGTGCCATAGTGACCCATAGTGACAATTTTAGTGTGCATCATATTTTAGTTTAGGTATAAATAAACCTAACATTAATATGAATAAATAACACTAACTCTGGGTCAGAACAACCCATCATCTTGAGTGGTTTTCTACTCATCGAAACTAAGTAAAGTTAGTGTGTGTACACCTTCTCCTCAAGCCAAACACATCCTACTCCTACCTCATTTATCCTTTCCATTTCCCTCCCTGAATCTCACATTTGTTCAGACACTCTTCCACTACATAAAAATGCAAATCATTTTCCCAACACATTTTCCACATTCACATGACAGTGTCTGATGTACTCTATGATGGTGTTTACTTGTGTGTGTGCCTCACATGCAAAATAATTTATATTATTGTTATTAATTAATAACATCATGCAGATATAAATTTGCACTTTAATACGTCATTGCGGGCGAGCTGTGTGCCTCTAATGTTATCTCCCAAACTGAAAACTCAGTGTGTTTCAAGAAAATTTAAAAACTGTTTCATTACAGCGGTATAAATCAAAATCAAATCTGATGCTTAATGCACAACATGGTAAGACAGCAATATTGACTTTACCAAGAAAGTTAAAGTAAGTTATATGTGTTACAGTTGAAAATCCTTCTGTATCTTAGATTTAACAGCTACTCGTGCAGATAATCCATAAAGACATTTCTTCCCTTTCTTTAGAACTTTTTTTTTTTGGATGGTGACAATTTTGTTTCAGAAAGAAGGATGAGAAGTTTCCCTCACTTATTTCTTTAACTCTTTCATGGACAGCCTTGATTTTTTTGTTCTGGAACCTTGCTGGTGTGTGTGTGTGTGTTGTGTGGGTGGTGTGGATTGTGCTGTGGTGATCGTGCTGGTGGGGTGTGGGTGTTGTGTACCTGTCAGATTTACACACACAAACCCGGCTAGAGACTTGTTTCTGGACTCGACTGCTGGGTCACAAGTGCTTTAAAATGAAGTGAGTCCTTGAGGCGTAGAATCAGATCCTCTCTCGCTCTCTCTGGCTGTCCCTGCATGTGGGAAGAAGTGTGTGAGTGTGTGTTAAAACAGCTTGTTAACACGTACACCACCGCCTTGGCCGGGACTCCCTAATTATTCCCTTCCAACTAAAGGCCAAGACAAGGAGAGAGTAGTGATAAACACATTTTCTTAGCATGTCTTTCTCTCTTTGATTCACTCTAAGTGTGTGTGTGTGTGATGCGGAGCATCTGTAACACAAAACATGTTTATGAAACATCTGCTAATAGAAAGCAGGTGTTGATTGGCTGTGATCCTCCCAGCAATCAGTGTATATTCAGAGACTAATGCAGATGCAACTGTCTGCTCTGAGGCCACACACACACACACAAACACACGTGTTGTTCACAGGTACAAGATATATTATTGTAAAACACACAGCCCTGAGATAGCAGTGGTGTTTTTTAGAGCCACAGTCTTCTTCTGTTGTCTTTGTATAACCACAGAGGCGGTAGTGGTATGTTTGTGTGTGCGCGTGTTTGTTTATGCGAGTGTGTGTATGCAGCCTTCCCACTTTGTCTTTATTTGTAAACATGCACACTCATATGTGTACTAAAGTGGGTGTGGGCACATATGAGCGTGTTTCTGAATGTTTGGATAATTTGGTCTGTGCACAGCTTTCCCGCTCTGAGTCTGTTTATTTGTATATGTATGTGTGTGTGTGTGTGTGTGTGTGTTTGAGGCTTCTCTCTGGGTTTGATTCTCAAGGCATTGTGGGGATTTTGTGGGGGTTGTTTGTAAACATCAACAGCAGTAAGTTTTATTTTATTGTAGCTTTATTTTACGACATTATTCCCAGATGGCTGCTAAAGCTCTCAAGTTTTTTAATGTGCCTACCACACATTCTGCACTCCCTCGTCTCATGCTGGCCGCCACACATATGCTTTTGCTCTCATGCACAAACAAACAACATGGTCTGTGGAACTGATGAGCTCGGGAATGAGCAGTGAAAAGATATTTTTTTTCCCTATATAGACAAAAGCAGGAATTAAGTTTTTAACGTTTAAAGGATCAGACTTACTGAGTTATTCAAGTTAGTGGCAGGGGCTTTTTTCTCATTTTTACCAGCTCTGTGACACTGTGGGTGAGCACTCCCATATTTCTCTTTAATTAAGCCAGGAAAAACCTTGTAGTACAGCCAAACCAGCTCATGTAGCCACTTATGTTTTAATTTAATTACCTGTCCACTTTGATAATTATTCCCCCTGATTAACAGGGAGAGATGGGTTCTAAATGGGAATAGGAGAAGGGTGAGAGGGCCAAACGGCATTTTTCTCCTTTAACCAAGAACAAGAATGGGGGTGTTGACTTAAGGTGTCCAGGCCAGCACTATTTTGATCCAGTTTCATACTTGGCCTGCGTCAGCCTGGCCTGGGATGGATTTATTCAGGCAATGCAGAACACAGAGTCCTACTGAGTTTCCTGTGCTCTGTTTGATCTTGTGATTTTATGCAACCGTCAGCCAGAACAGACAAACAACAACCAACAAATCATGATTCCCTAAACAGGCAAGGGGGTGATTGATATCTTTAGTAAAAATGTCAACAGTTACACAACAACAAGCACAAGGATGATTCAGTCTCGCTTCTCTCTATTGTGCTTCTCAGCTCAGGTTGTTTGTCGCTATAAATATTTGAAATACACACACCTGCTGGGGGTTCGGTTCTAAACTTTCTTTTAACAATACTCTCTCAATTTTGTCGATCAAACTTGAAAGTGCACCTTCATGATAACAGCCCACTTAAAAAAGCATCGCTCATCACCATCCAGTTGCTCACATTAGCAGCCGTCAGTTCTCCTGAGATTTATTGGAGACGTATAACAAAGTGTTCCTGGCAAAAAACTGTCATGCTCAGAGGAGAGGTGAGTGAGTAAAAAAATATATGGCTGCCCATATACACTCACACACACAAACACACACCCAAACATCTGCACGCAGACACACGTATTTTTAGTGGTATTGATCGTGCTAATGAATATGTTGTGATTTACTGCAGTCGTGGCCCATTGTTGGGTGGTGCTGTGATGGACTGCCATCATTTTCCAATGGTAAAAGCTTCGATAGAGAAAAGGCAGGAGGACAGAATCCCATTTAACGGCCAAAGCAAATTATTCCAAGATCCTCTTTTGAGTTATGGTATCCTTTTTTCTAGTTTTTTTTCTTCTTTCTTTTT